TATATGTATATACATATACATATTGTATATACACATACAATATAATATTATGTAATTAATACAATATATTTTAATTATTATATTAAATATTATCTTTTAACTTTTAATTAAAATGAATCTATTTTTATTCATTTGCTATTTTTATGATTTGTTTTAACTTTAGTTTTGTTTTTTAGATTCTTTTTTTTTTTTTTTAATTAAATAAATATAATAAAATAAATTTTTTAACCATTTGTTATGGAGTAGTTCACTGACGAGTAGTGAGCATTATCTTTGTGGTTCACTGTCTACTATCATTAGGGTTACTAAAATAACAATATTTTTGAAAAATATTTACTGGCAACTCCACTTCTTTATATAATGGCACCAATGTGTTTTATATAATAAAACAACACTGGGTTTTAAAATTTTTTCAAATAGAAATATTTTCAGGGGTTGCTACTAACCCCTTTCCTGTGGAGTTTTTTTCTATACATTTTTTAAATAAAATTGCTAGATTTTTCTTAACAATTTCTTTATATATATATATTCTTTATATAACTATTCAAACTGTTCGAGCCAAAATAAAAAAAGTAAAAAACGTAATATAATGGTCACAACAGGAAAGTGGTTAAACATTTCCTTATATTATGGAAAAAATTGTTTTTCTATAATATTAATAGACCTGTTAATGCAATATAAAAGTTTCAAAAATAATAATCATTTTATAAAAAAAATTTAAAAAAAAATTGTTAAAAAATCTTGTAAAAGTGCTTTTTTTTCATCTTTTGTTAAATATTTTCCTTATGTGATAAAGTCAATTTTTTTTTTATTCTGAATCACTCCGTACAATAAATAATCTATTAACTTAATAGTGGCTGCAAGCAACCACTATTAAGTTGTGACTTACTAGAAAAAAAAAAGAATAAAGTTATAGAGCAAGAAAATGGTTGACAGAAGACTTATAAAGTTGATGGTTGTATGAATCAGGAAAACATATAGATAGGAGACAGTTCCAAAGAGTTAAGGTTTGGGGAAAAAACTAGAAGAATACAAGTTTTTAGAGCAAGCAGTAACAGATACAGTAAATGATGAGACTGTTTGAAGAGTCAAACGAGAATGAGTTTTAGTTGATGGAACTAGAGATGGTAGCTTCTTTGAGCATCATCCACGATAGTATTTTTAGAAAAGAACAAGAGATGCAACTTCATGGCATTAGGAAAGAGGCTCAAGTTTTAGAATAAATTAGAATAAATTGCCCAAATATGACAATAGTATTCCATACAAGGACGAATAAGAGATTTGTAAAAGTAGAGAAAAGAATCAGGAGTAAGAAAATGGTGAGCATGATAAAGAATAGTCACCTTAGTGGATGCTAATTTAGCAGTCGATTGTATATATGGTTTCCATAAAAAATCAGTAGTCAACGATAATTCAAGAAGATGTAAAGAAAAGGACTCTGTGAGAGGAATGCCATTCATTAATATAGGAATGTTGACAGTATTGCGATAGTTGTTTGCAGTAAATAACTGAGTTTTCATTCCTTTCATTCCAATTAAACAGGTTAACCTGTTTAATTGGAATGAAAGGAAGATTCAAGATTCCAATTAGATAAAAAGTTCTTTGCAAATAGTTCTGGCTTATCCTTGGGAGAGGTCCCATGAATGATAGGAATTAGATGGAATGAATGAGATGTAATTTTAGACCTTTGTTAACAATGCTGTTGAAAATTTTCCAAAAGTCTCTAGAGTTTAACTTCTGAGATATGAGCGTCAGACAGCATCTTTTGAGATATGAGCGTCAGACAGCATCTTTTGAGATATGAGGGTCAGGCAGCATCTTTTGAGATATGAGCGTCAGACAGCATCTTTTGAGATATGAGCGTCAGACAGCATCTTTTGAGATATGAGCGTCAGACAGCATCTTTTTACATGGATTTTTTGCAATAATAAATAGCTGCTTGTTCTCTAGAGAATTGTTTTTTTGAAAAAGATGAAAAAAATGATTATGATTAGATATAGCAGCTGCCCAAGAAGGTGAAAACCATGGAGTAGAAAGAGGCATGGCTGGGACTGACCAGAAAAAAAAAAGCATCTATCCTTGCCTGAATTTAGGAGGTTAAATAGGAGTTGCATTTATCAGCTGAGAGGGAAAAGATATTAACCCAAAGACCGTCACAAAGAAAATTTCAAAAAGAATCCAAGTCAGTTTTAGGATAGCAGTAAGTAATGCGATGATAAGATGAGTCCAAATAGGAATAAAAGATTTAAAGATATCATTGCATAGTCAGAACCACCTAAAGGAGAAAAGTGAGAAACTGAACACAGGCTAGAGTCAGAGACAAGACTTAAATCAAAGAGTCAAGATAATTGATTAGGGTTGTCAGGAAAAATGCCATTCAGTGTGATGAGCATTAAAGTCACCGATAACAAAAATATCAACAAAAGGGTAATGGGCATGGTCAATTTAATATTTTAGGTTACTTTTGGCATGATTTAAGTTTAAAGAGGTCTGGTTTGAGGTTGGTTAGCAAAATTATTTTTTTACCCCTAAAGTGCCTAGGAGGCCTCCTACAAGACAGTAGCTGGATGCAGTTAACATGGCCTAAGATGAGCTTTTTATAGAGACACTATCTTTAGCCTTTACTCAACCAAGAGCCCCAAGACAGGGGATTTTTAAGTCAAAGTTTGTTTCTCCTAGTTGTTGCCTAATAATGCACTCCCTAAAAGGCTGTAGGGTATGGGCCAGGTAGTTCTGGGTTACATGATACCAGTAAAAGGGTGATCGTGATGATCTTAAACCTGACCTGTCCAGCAATAATTAAAAGGAGCTACTTCCTGCAAACAGTACCTTAAAATATTAGGCACGATATTTTGGTAGTGCATCAGGAAAAACATTACATCTAACAGATACTAGAGATTAAGACAAGCATAGGCTTATAGTTTATAGAGTAACTAATTAGTTAATGAGCTCACTGCATCAACAGACTAAACATTCAAACAGAACACAAGCATAAAGTAACTTACAGGTGAGTAAACACCGCTACAGAGGTTCATACATAACACAAACATACATATAAAAATAAAAAGACAGAACACAAACATGCATAAAGCAGCTTACAAGTGAATGAACATTGCTCCAGAGGTTCAAACAGAACTCAAACACACATAAAGTAACTTAGGCAGAACACAAACATACTGATAGCAACTTACTGATAGCAACTTACTGATAGCAACTTACGGGTGAGTCAACACCCCAGAAGTTTAGACAGAACACAAACATAAATATTTAAAAAGTAGGTTACAGGTAAGCTAAAACATTAACTCAGGCACCTCTACCTATTTAAAAGACACACACCAAAAATATGTTAAAAAAATCTTTTATCCCCTAATTTTGTTGTGCTAAAATTCAAATGTCTCTGAATCTTTAGCGTTCAGCTCAAAATTCTATATAGTGTTCATTTAAGTAATGCATGTTGAGGGATACCAGTGAATAAAATGTTCATGCTTACTTTGAAACCTGTTTAAATAATAAAATTTATAAATTTAGTTTTCTAATTAATTTTTAGACTACATGTTTATTTTTGTTTTACTGGTACTTAAATTTGAAATGAAAAGATAATTTTTAGTAATTTAAAAATAAAGGTAATTTACTGTTTGAAAAGTATAAATTGTTGCAATTTTGATTTGATTTGCAAGTTAAGTGCAATTTTCTCCACCTATAAGACTTTTTTATATGTTTTTTATTTTAATAGTTTTTTTTTTAGTAGTTCGTGTGTTTATTAGATGCTATAAAAATAGGTTTAAATTCTTTTTAAATAAAAAAATCATTTGTCTTCTTAGGTAGACATAAAGCAATTGCAAAACTTTAATGATTGCAGTTTTATATTGTCTTTCTCAGTCAGGTGCTGATTTTATGGACGAGTCAGTTCTAACGTTTTACACACAGCAGTGGGAAGGGTATAAGTTCTCTTCAAAAGTTCTTCATGGTATTTGTGCTTATTTAAATAGACATTGGATTCGAAGAGAGTGCGGAGAAGGCAGAAAAGATGTATATGAAATTTACAATGTAAGATAGATAATATTAAGTATTATATGATATAGTAAGGTAAATGATTAAATATATAAAAAGTTTTTTAATATTTTAGTAAATTATTAAATATAAAATTTGTTACCACTTAATACTTTAGTTAGCATTGGTTACTTGGCGTGATGTTCTATTCAAAGGACTCGATACAAGGGTAATTATAGTTTATAATTATCCTTAATATTTTATTGTTTTTCAAGTGTAAGATTATTATCCAGTAATTATGAAACCTAGAGATTATGAAAATATCTAATAGCCATAAAACTCAATATTATATATTTGTGTAATATGTGTAACTTATCGCAATCATTTTTTAGGCATAAACTTTGAGTAACTTATAACTTACATTATTTCACTTGTTATAAGTTAGAGATATTACATTAAAAATTTTTTTTTGATTTTTTTAAAAAAAAAACAATAAAAATGTTCATGGTGGGTAGAATTGCATCCTGCTACTGTCAATTTTCAGATTAAGGGTTAAGCTGTAAATTTCTGTTGGTCAGCCATGTGTATTTTCTTCATCAAATAGGTACCTACATCGTGCAGCACTATAACCTTAGTTATAGTGCTGCACGATGACTTAGTTAACTCAGAGTAAAGTTTTCCCAATTCTAAGTTAACTCTCAGTTAGCTGATTTCATTACCAGATGTAAAATATCAGGATACTAACATTTATGTAAGGTGTCTTTGTTTTGGTGTATATTGTTCTCAGTTACAGGATAGAAGATTTTCTTCAAACTTTATTTTTATTAGCAAAAATAAGAAATTGTATAGCTTATTGCTTAGGATTCCTTTGTAAGAATTTTCAAATCAAATTTTCCTAAGATAATTGAAATCAAACTGCTTTTCAGCTTGTGTCAAATAGTTTTACTACTTATTCTGAACTTAGTATTGTTCTGTTATTTATTCTGAATTCTGTATTGTCTCTTGTTAATTGGCTTATTTGAACTAAAGTAGTATGTGACTAAAGAAGTCAAGAAGTAAAGAAGTATGTGAGTAAAAAAGTATGTGAATTTTGAACAGCTGTTGACTCTAACTAATATATATTATCACAAACGTTTTTCAATTGCCTAACTCATTTTTCATGTTTTGAAAAAACTGAAAAAAAATCGTTATTTTTCTCTTACATCACAATAAATCAAATAAAAATAATAGTTTTCTTATTGGTTTAAGATATAGGTGATTTGAATAAAAAAGAAAATGAGACTGCCTAAACTATACATTTCAACCATTAATACAAAATCCTCCAAAAATGATTAGACAATTATGAAATGATTGTGACAATATGTTTAATGAGTTAACCTTATGTTTAAGAGTCAACCTAGTTTGACTATAGTACCAAAAAATATCAAACAATAAAAAAAATACTTACTAGAAATTTGTTGCAACCTATCATTTACAAATAATCATGGTCTTCTAATTTCCTATATTTTGAAAAACTTATCACACTTACATGCTGTTTGTGAGTCTATTTAAAGTTATTTTAATTTTTTTTATCTTTAAATCTCAATGTTAATAATACTTCATTGTTTTCAAACATTGTTTGATTGCATAGACTCCAAAGGTTTGATGCTTGGTTGGAGCATATACTTATGTATTAATTCATTAGTTTGTTATGAAGTCAGGTTTGAATCCTCTGAAAATTTTTAATGTGCTTTTGTTTTCTAAGCAATCCAAAAAACTTATCTGTACTTTTTAATTTACCTCTTGTCTCTGAGCCTTTTTTAAGTGCTTAGTTTATCCTCACTGTCCGTTTTTTTTTTTTTTTTTTTTTTTTAATTTTATTTTTATTACATGTTATATTTTGCTATACAATACTCATATCCAAAAGAATTGTTAGCTTAACAACCACAAACAGCCATAACGACATTTTGAAAACTTTTACAAATGTATATTGTATTTCTTATATTTCTTATATATATTCTATAATGTATTTCTTCATAAGCTTCTTTGATATAATATATGTGGCTAAGGTTTCAAAATTATTAAATAAAAAACCTATATGGTTTTAATTTATTCGTTGTTTTTTTTTAATTTAACAAAAGATCATCAAACATAAGTTGTTTTGTTACAAATGCTTTAAATTTGCATTTCAACTTGATCTACCTTAGGTAACTTATGCTGTTCTTGAATTAATACGAAGAGAGAGAAATGGTGATACTATAAATACAAGCCTAATATCTGGTGTCATTGATAGTTATGGTAAATATTCTTTATTATTGTTATTATTAATTGAATTTTTTTATAAATTTGTATATTTGTTATAAGTTTTTTTTTGAAAATTTTTATTATTTATGTGTTGTGAAAGCTTAAGCTTGTATTTAGTTCATTTGGGTATAAATGAAGAAGATACTCGCACCACTGGGCCTAACCTTTCTGTCTATCGTAAGCAGTTTGAATCAATTTTTTTGCAGGACACAGAACAATACTATACAGCTGAAAGTGAAGCATTTTTAGCTCATAATCCTGTGACTGAATACATGAAAAAAGTAATTCAAAAAGTTTTTAAATTTAAATTTGGTTTCATGTTTTTCTGTTTTGTCATCATAAAATAAGTAAATAATTATATCTCATTTTATTGAATTTGCCATTATAAAAACTTTACTTAGTATTCAATATATTTATAAAATATATTTATTTTAGTAGCATAGTATTCGTAAATGTAAAAAAATGTTTTTAAAATAAATTAAATAAGATTTTTTTAGTTTCTTTGTACTGATTAAGAGCTATTCTAGAAAAGTAATTTGGGCACCTCAGTAGGAGCACATACCCAACAAAGCCTTTTTTCAAAACTGTCAAAAAGGGTTTAGAATAGTCGCTGCCTATCTCATCATTAGACATCTACAGATACTACTTAAAAATCTGTTGTCTAAGGTCTCTCATTATTGAGTTGACTATTTATATGTTGTATAAGATTATATAAGATGTCTACTGAAAACAAGATAAGAAATGAGATCTACACACTTTCTCCGCTTTAATAATACTTATTACAAATATTGTTATCCCCTATATTTTTTTTTTTTTAAACTGTTTCCAAGTGAAATGAAATTTTCTATTTTAAAAATCAATGTATATATAGCAGTTTGCAAATTATAATATTAAATCTTTATTTTAGGCTGAAATTCGATTAAATGAAGAAAGGCGGCGTGTTTTTGTTTATTTACATGAGAGTACTCAGATAGAACTTGCAAGAAAGTGTGAACAGGTTCTGATAAAAAAACATTTAGAAACTCTTTATGGAGAGTTTCGTCATCTTTTAGGCGATGACAAAGACGAAGGTATTTTAATATAATTAAATACATATGTATAAATGTATATGTATATATGTGTGTGTGTGTGTGTGTGTGTGTGTGTGTGTGTGTGTGTGTGTGTGTGTATGTGTGTGTGTGTGTGTGTGTGTGTGTGTATATATATATATATATATATATATGTATATATAAATATATATAATGTATACTCATTATGTAACTATAATATGTAACTATAAATGTATGTATATATATATATATATATATATATATATATATATATATATATATATATATATATATATATATATATATATATATATATACATATATATATATATATATATATATATATATATATATATATATATATATATATATATATATATATATATATATATATATATATATATATATATATATATATATATATATAACGTATACACAATGAGTGTTTATACCAGGTAACAAATAATTCAAAGCAGCAATTTAAATGTCTGAAAAAAAAAAGTTAAAAATCAAAAACATTTTGTACTAAAAAATTTAAATTCCAGTTTATTCGAACTTTGGCTGATATGAGATAAAAGTTCAAGTTTAAGCTGTTTTTCTTTATTCAATGCTAAAGTATAAACATTAAATATAAACCATTATACTGAAAAAAAATGTTTCAGTGAAAGAAGTTGTGTATTGTATGCTCAAAATATTGTTTGTTCTGGTTTGTTTGATCTCCCAACAAGTAATAGGTTTATATATATATATATATATATATATATATATATATATATATATATATATATATATATATATATATATATATATATATATATATATATATATATATATATATATGCTCTCGACATATCTAAAGCTTTCGACAAAGTTTGGCATGCTGGTCTTCTCCATAAGCTTGCTTCATATGGTGTTTCTGGGAAAGTTTTTGAGATTATCAAATCATTTCTTTCTAACCGGTTTATTAAAGTCATCCTTGAAGGCCAACACTCTTCTTTATTTCCAGTAACTTCTGGGGTTCCCCAAGGTTCCATCCTGGGCCCTGTTTTGTTTCTTATCTACATAAACGATCTTCCTGACAACCTTTCATCTAAATTAGCTCTTTTTGCTGATGACTCAACTTTATACTCCTGTCTTGACAAAAAGTCTTCTCTTTTCGATCGTCTAGAACAAGCAGCTGATCTTGAATCCGATCTCACTTCAGTAATAGATTGGGGTCCACAGTGGCTTGTGAATTTCAACTCTAACAAAACCCAGTTGTTTACTGCAAACAACTACCATAATATGGTCAACATTCCTATATTAATGAATGTCAATCCTCTTACTGAGTCCTCCTCTTTACGTCTTCTTGGATTATCGCTTACTACTGACCTTTCATGGAAACCATATATACAATCAATTGCTAAATTACCTTCTGCTAAGGTTGCTTCTCTTTATCGTGCTTGCCATTTCCTTACTTCTGATTCCATTCTCTACCTCTACAAATCTCTTATTCGTCCCTGTATGGAATACTGTTGTCATATTTGGGCTGGTTCTGCTAACGATTCACTTTCTCTTCTTGACAAGGTCCAAAAACGCATTGTAAATGTTGTTGGACCTGGACTATCTGCTAAGCTTGAACCTCTTTCCCAACCTCGTAAAGTTGCATCTCTTTCTCTCTTCTGCAAGTACTATCATGGTCACTGCTCAAAGGAGTTATCATCTCTAGTTCCATCAACTAAAATTCATTCTCGTTTTACTCGTCATTCAGCTAAGTCTCATTCGTTTACTGTATCTGTCCCTGCATGCTCTAAAAACTTTTATTCATCTAGTTTTTTTCCCCGCACTTCAATCCTTTGGAACTCTCTTCCATCTTCATGTTTTCCTGACTCATACAACCTTCAACTTTTCAAGTCTTCTGTCAACCGTTTCCTTGCTCTATAACTCTGTTCTTTTTTTTCCTAGTATCTCCCAACTTAATAGTGGTTGCTTGCAGCCTTGTTGGGAGTGAATGCAAATAATAAAATATATATATATATATATATATATATATATATATATATATATATATATATATATATATATATATATATATATATATATATATATATATATATATATTGTTTGTTCTGATTTGTTTGATTTTCCAACAAAATCTTTATTTTATGCTAAACTTTTTATCTAAATATTAAGCAACATGAAAAAAGTTCTAATTTTTTTAAAAAGTATTAATTTTTTTAAAGTTTTTAGTAAAAAACTTTAAAAAAACTAGAAAAAAAAATCTATAAAATTTGTTTGATCTCCCAACAATGTGTCAGGAAAACATGAAAATGGGAGAGATTTCCAAATGGTTGAAATGCGGGGAAAGAAACTAGACGAATAAAAGTTTTTAGAGCATACAGGAACTGATACAGTAAACGAATGAGACTTTGCTGAATGACAATCAAATGAGAATGAGTTTTAGTTGATGGAACTAGAGACGATAGCTCCTATGAGCAGTGACCATGATAGTATTTGTAAAAAAGAGAAAGAGATGGAACTTTATGATAATGGGAAAGAAAAGTAGTAAGGAGGTAGAAAATGGAATGAAAAAATAGTAAAAGAAAAGAGAAAGATAATAAAGGAGATAATAAAGGAGATAATAAAGGAAATAATGGCAAGCACGATAAAGAAGAGAGAAAAAATAGCGATAAAGAAAAGCAATCTTAGCAGATGTTAATTTCATGAAAGATCAGTAGTAAGCGGTAATCCAAGAAGACGTAAAGAAGATGGCTCAGAGAAAGAGTTGCTATTTATTAGTATAGGAATGTTGACAGTATTGCGATAGTTGTTTGCAGTAATTAACAGAGATTTTTTGGAGCTAATATTCACAAGCCAGTGCGAACCCCAATCTGTTACAGAAGTGAGACCAGATTCAAGATTCACTGCCTGTTCTAAGCGGTTGGAAAGGAAAGACTTTTTGTCAAGACAGGAGTATTAAGTCGAGTTATCAGCAAAAAAAGCTACTTTTGATGCAAGGTTGTCAGGAAGATCATTAATGTTGATAAAAAACAGAACAGGCCCAAGGATAGAACCTTGAGGTACAACAATAAAGAATAAGAGTGATGGCCTTCAAAGATGACTTTAATAAAGTGGTTAGAAATAAATGATTTGATAATCTCAAATGCTTTCTCAGATGCACCATGTGAAACAAGCTTATGGAGAAGATCAGCATGCCCACTTTGTCGAAAGCTTTAGATATTTCAAGAGCAATAGCCTTAATTTCTCTGCCTCCATTTGATGCACCAGATAAAATCTTTCAGTCACAGCAGTTAGCTAGTCAGATTTAGAGTGAGAGGATTGAAAACCATATTGATTGTCTGACTGTAAGTTATTTGACTCAAGATGAGATGTGAGAAATTAGTTTATCAAAGACCTTGCTAATATCAGAAAACAGACTGATCGGACAATAATTAGAGGGTTTGAAATGTTCTCTATAGTTTTTGAAAATTGGAACCACAGATGCTGTTTTTCAGCAGGAAGAAAAACAAGATTTAGTCAAGGACTTGTTAAATGCCTTAGAGGTGATTGAAGAGAGTTCAATTCTGGAATACAATTTTGTAAGACAATGACAGAAATGTTATCTGGACCACAAGCTGTAGATGAGTTTAATTGAGATATGACTTAAGAACGGAAGCTGGAATGATTTGAATGTCAAACGATGAGTTAACCTATTCAATTGGAATGGAAGGAAGAGAATGGCCATTAGATTCAAAATTCGAATTAGATGAAAAGTTCATTGCAAATAGTTCTGCCTTATCCTTGAGAGATAATAAGATCAGTTCCATGAATGTGAGATGGAATGTTAGACCTTTGTTAAAGGCGAAGATGGCTGTCGAAGATTTTCCAAAAGTCTCTAGAGGCTGAATTCTGAGATATGAGATTTAGTGAATAATGGAGCTTAACATCTGACCGCACATTTTTACATCAATTTCTTGCAATAATAAATAGCTGTTTGTTTTCAAAAGAAGTTGTTCTTGTTTAAAAAAGATAAAAAAAAAATAGCATTACAATTAGATGTAGCACAAGAGGGTGTATGGAGTAGAATGAGGCTTGTCTTGGAACCAACGAGAAGGAACAAAGGCATTCATTCCTGCCTGAATCCAGGAAGTTCGGAGAAACACAGAGTTTAGGAAACCTTACTACCAGCTGGCCTCAAAACTATTAAACTGAGTTTTATAGCTATACCCTCATTAGGAGATAACGAGAAGAGTTGCATAGCCACTATCAAGGAGGCACAAGCGAAAACCTATGGGAAAAAAGTTAAGAAGATTCAGCATTCATCATCCTAGACAAGAAACAATGTAGCACAGGTTTACATCTACGCCAGCCTAATAGATGAAGAAGGGGTTTAAGGTTGGTCAACAGAGTTATTCTGCTTATCCCTAAAGTCTTTTCCTAGGCCTCCTACAAGACAGTAGCTGATGCAGTTAATATCTGCCCGAGCTGAGTATTTTAATTGAGACACCATCTCTAGCTTTTACTGTACCAAGATCCCCAAGGCAGGGGATTTTTAAGTTGGAGTTTGTTTCTAGCCTTTGCCTAAAAAAGCACACTCTACAAGGCAGAAGGACATGAGGCAGGTAGTATTGGGTAACATAATACCAGTAGCAGGGTGATTGTGATGATTCTGAACCTTACCTGATCTGGAGTAATTAAAAGGAGCTACTTTCTGCAAACCTCAAAAACATCGGACATGTTATTTTGAAAATGCTTTAGGAAAAATATTACACAAAGCAAAAGGGTGAGCGTAGGTTTAACAGTTGGAGTGTCTAATTAGTTAATGAGCTCACACTGTATCAAAACAGATTTAAACATTTAATATAACATTTAAACATTTTAACAGAACACACACATACATACATATCATACATACAGAAGACATACATACATACATCTTATTACAGAACACATACATACATAAATCAGAATTCATACATACATACATATCAGGCCTTGTTTTAAATAAAAAAGTGCTTAATGCATTAGCTTAACGCAATATT